ATAATAATAATAATAATAATAATAATAATAATAATAATAATAATAATAATAATAATAGTAGTATTAGAAATAATAATAATAATCACAAACTAATAACCCAAGAAAATAATACTATGCTTAAAAATCAATAATAGGGTACCTTGTGGCAATGATTGCATTGTCTGAAATGTAAAATGAAGATTTTAGATTTGAGCTTAAAAAATAATATTATACACTGTAGTTTTTAGTAAAGCATCAACTACAATGAGGAAAAACTTCATTTTTTGTATTCTTAAATAGTAAAAGGTGAACTCATAAGCATCCCAATTATGTCCATGTACAAAAAATAAAAACATTTCTATAATTAAGTCATTAAATACTGAAGTTTCAAATCTTTTTAGAAGATATACTATGAGGTTATATGGGCTCAACGGTACTCCAAGATTAGATCTACATATTTATTGGCATTTACAACAATCAAGTATAAGAAATAATGGCCACTTGAAATTTTTTATAAATCAGAAACAATGATTGATAGTTCAGTCATGATTATAGATGTTTCTATAAAGAGAAAATCTAATATAATACTAATATTTCTTGCAGGATTTCTTAAGCAAATCTCTTAATGGACAGTCAGGATATGAAAGCTCTAGAAGCAGATCTAGTGTATCATCGGCTCCTGAAAAACAGATCAGTGAAACTCAAGAATATGACTAGAATTTTAAATATTATATCTCATTGTACCAAAAAAAAAAATAAAAACTATGACAAAATTAAAACTACTATCATATAGTTATTTAAAGTATGTCATAAAGAGAAGATTTTAGCAATTTGTGAGTTTTTAGGCATTTCAATTGACAATATTAGTTGGGGGGTTGATGTGATTTTGTAATGAGAATCAATGCCAACAAATATTCAAACTTGGGTCAAGAACTAGCTAGCTTAAGAAAGAGTGGGTAAATTCTGTTTTAATGACTAACTTATGATTATGCTATTTGATTTAAGAGGAACATATAGTTCTTAATATAATGTTGCCAATTAGAGAAAAGATATAAACATTTGCATGTGTTCACGAAATGCTCATCCATGAAAGAAAAGTATTTGCATCCTTATTAATCATGTTACCATTGGATTAATTTGATATCATTTTTAGATTATCAATCATGTTTTAATAAAATGCCAAGCGAAGAGGGCTAAGTTTAGAAGTCTCGAATGAACTATTTTATAGTCTCTATGAAGAGAGACTCTTTTTTTTTATCCTCTACTAATAAGGTAAGGAAACTTATAATAGAAGGATGTTTTGCCTATCTAGTGCAATGAATTAGCATAGCTGATCAATATGTGGGGTTAATTTAGAAATGTGCTTATGTATGAAACTATTTAGATGTGTTTCTTGTTTACTCAAACCAGATAATGGATATGACAAAATTATAGAAGTTGAGACTTAAATACAAGCCTAGCAAAAAAACAATCTATTTAGCCAAATGTCTCTTTTTAAGTGCTTAGATATTGTTTATTAAGAAGAAGAATGGAGATATTTTTGATCAATTAAAGGGAATAATTCTATTCTCCATAATTGGTCAAAATGGATTATTGGCAACTCAATTTCAAGAGATAAGATACCACGAACATAGCATTTAAAAAAAGAAATAGTCATTATGAGCTATGTTTATGCTTTTTTATACTAATAAATGCTTCAACAACATTTATGAATTTGATTAATAATATATTTCAATATTTATTGAATCGTTTTAATATAATATTTATTAATGATATTCTTGCATGTTCCCTAAGACTAGGCTTAACATGGAAAACACTTGCAAGAAAATTGGTAGAAGCATAA